CTAAAATAAAATTTTAGATAAAATGAATTAAATAAGATATATCATTAATGTCACCTGGAGTGTTTTTTAACTTTGTAAAATGTGGTTACTGGAAAATTTTAAATTATATAGTGCTACAGAATAGCACTATGCTGAGGCTCCCTGGAAAGGACTAGGAAAACTGAGAATACAGAAAGTACAGTCTGTGACATCAAGGAACCCACAATCGGAGAAGAGAAAAACTGAAAATAATTACAACACAATGGCATTGAGTACACTAATAAAGACGTATTAAAGTGTATGGGAGACTGAGGAGGGCCATTTGTGGCCGTGGGTAGGAACGGGTATTAGGTTAGTCTACTGCAAGTGGTGAAGTGGTGCTATCTGATCTGCATCTTTAAGAAGTAGGAACATAGGGTAAGGATTGGATGAGCCATGAGAGAGAGACTGTAAAGGGGGAGAAAAGGTTTTTCTGTTGATAAAGGGAAAGGGCAAGGTATGCGGTAGAAAGTACGCAGGGCAGAGTGGTTTCTGTGATGTCTTACAGGGACTGAATTTTAACCTTTAAGCAATAGACTCACTGAAGGGGTAAGCAAAGAGTGATTAAGATCAGAAATAATGGTTTAGAACTCAGCAGCTGTGTGGAGACTCAGCAGAGATAAACAAAACCAGAAGCAGAAAGGCTGCCAACTAGTTACAAATAGGGCCCAAACTAGGGCAATAAGAATATGAGTGGAAAGTACAACTCAAAATTATATTTAGAGGGCAGGGGACGTAGCTCAGCAGGCACAATGCCTGCCTAGCAAGCTCAAGGCCCTGAGTTTGATTCCCTGTACCACCCCCAATTATATTTAAAAAGTAACATTAGTAGACTATGGTCTTGTCCAGAGCAGACTCTATGGGAGGTGGGGAATTTTCCACACCATCCCGCTCCCCAAGAGGGATTGAACCCAGGGCCTTCACAATGAGCTATATTCTCATACCTGTTTAAAATTTTGAGGCACAGTTTTACTGAATTGCTGGGCTGGAACATCCCTGCTTCAGCCTCCCAGAGTGCTAGGGTTACAGACATGTACCATCATGGGCTCTTCTTTTGGATTTCTTTTTATTAGTGTATGTTTGCAGTACATAATGATTACATTCATGTGGGGAGTGGGTACATGTAGAAAACACATCTTAATTATTTTGATATCCCTTCTCCTCCCCTCCCACCATGTTTTGGTCTCTCCCATTTGCAAAAGATCTCCCTATTTCCTGTTGTCTTACTTTTCTTGTTGCTTAGACAAAACACCTGACATCCAAAGTTAAAGGAAGAAGGGCTTATTTAGCTTACAGTTTTTGAAGTTTCAGTCCATAATTGGCTGGCTCCAAGGCAGAGTAGTATGACCAATAGGCCACAGAGGAGAAACAGTTCATGGAGGGCAGAAGGCAGCAAAACAAGAAAGGGGTGACCACAGCTCTTTCTATCCCTTATATCTTACCCAGGCTGCTTAGGGCAAGTTGCACTCACATTCTTAATCCTAGTGCCCTTGACCCTACACTGCACCATGAATCAGTCACACAGCGTAGATCCAGCCACCTCTGAAAAAGCCCCACCTATGACCACAAGAGGCTTTGAGGGACATTTTGACACAAACCGTAACACCTATTGTCTATCTTTTATTTTGCTATTTAATTTATTATACTTTGGGTTTCTCACATCAGGAAAACCATGTGATATTTGAGTGTCGGATTTACTTTACTTAACCTTTTAGTCTCAAGGCACATCTGTTTTTCTACAAATGATGCAAATTTATCCTTCCTTATAGCACAGTGGCACTCCGTTGTGTATAAATACATTTTTAATTCATTCATCTGTTGGTAGACATATGGGCTGCTTCCAAGATTTAGTTATGAGTTGTGCTGCTATTCTAAGGTGAAGGAATGACCCTAGAATGTTTCTGGCAGATTTTAAAGGACTACTTTAGCTGCCATTGAAGCCTACAATGTAGTGGGTAAAGAGGGAGAAAAGATAACTGATTTACAATGTTAAAGAAATGGAGACTATACCTATAGAAGTGGTTGCTAGTGGTTCAGACCAAGGTGGATGCAAAGGAGGTGGTGAGCAGCAACTAGATTCAGGTGTTTTGCTCTGGTTTTGGTTTTTTGAGACAGGGTGTCACTGTAGTCTAGGCTAGCCTTAAAACCACTGTGTAGTGGAGATCATCCTGCCACAGCCTCCTGAGTGCTAGAATTATAAGTGTGCCAACATGCCTGACTCAGGTCATATTTTTATCTGGAATATGGTACCACCTAATTCATGGGGTTGAGGAAGGAAAAAGAAGGATAGTACCAGCTGAGATTAACTGTCAGATTTAATCTAGACAAGTTTTTTTGGGTGAAAGTGAAAATACTATTCAGAAAGACCTGAGGAAAAGAGTAAAGATATGGGAGATAACAAAGGAAATAGGAGCTGAGCAATGGCTTTTTTTTTCCCCAGCATTAAAGAACAAGTAATTTTAGTGGTATCACCCTATGCTGATACAGTATGTGATTTTTTTCTTCATAACATTCAGCTATTAAGCAGTAAAAGTTAAGCACAGTCTCTAGATTCAACAGTTTAATTTGTAAGATGACTTGAGTTACATGATTTTAACATCTGAGTTCTAAAATTCTGATTTTGAGACTCCTGCAGTTTTGCTGCTACCACACAAGTTTTTTAAAAATACTATGGTTAAATATACACAATGTACAGTTTACCATTTTAATTATTTCAGCACACAATTTTTAAATCAAGCATCCAGATGGGGCCTCTAGTTGGATTTAGGGATACTGAGACATTAAATTCCAATGCCTGAAGGTGGTAGCGCTGGCCTAGGTGGCAAACATCCCAACTGCTGTTGCCTCTAGATAGAAGTAGCTTTATTCCTTCCTCACAATATGTTAACACAAGTACAGATGCTCGATTGTTGATGAGCTTATAAAACACTGTGCATTGTGATGCACATCTGTGATCCCAGCCCTCTGGGAGGCTAAGGCAGGATGGCAAATTTGAGCTCAGCCTGAAAAGTTCAGTGAGTTAGTGAGCATGAGTCTCAAAATAAAAAATAAAAAGGGCTGAGGGCTCAGTGTGAAGGTGTTGGTCCTCAGTACCAAAAACAAAAACGAAAACAAAACAAAAAAAATTCACCTACCGAACATCCTACCATCCTAGTTTAGCCACACAACATCCCTACAGTGTTGGTTGCTTCTCCTCACGATCAAGAGGCTGACTGGGAACTGTGGCTCAAGGCCACTGCCCAGTATCAACACTGCATATTGCTGTGCAATATGCAGAAGAAACAACAAGAAAAGATAAAAACTTGAAGTACAGTTCCTACTGAATGCCTATCACTTTCACACCATTTTAAAGTCAAAGAATCCTATGTTGAATCACCATAAATTTGGGATTGTATTCCATTTTCTAAATATGCCAAAACTGAAAAGGTCAGGGAAGTACTGTTTTAAGTCATAAAATATGAAAATCCTAATCAACTGAAGAGTTTAAAATGGGCCAGGGGGTATAGCTCAGTGGCATAAGTGCCTGCCACTCTGCTTCACAGAGTAACAGCCAGCCAATGAAGAGATTAAAGGAACACAGTGATATCACATACACTTTTGAAGATCACAGTATTTGTAATGCAGAAAAGTATTCAAAGTAGGCACACTATTCCATTCCATTTGTTCCCATTCTTTAAAAACTCTTAAAAATGTTTTCAGTCTATTTTCTTGGAAAAAATAATAATAGCTAGCTTTTATTGAGCATATACTATATAATCTGCATACCATCCTACAAGGTTTACATATATTCCTTCACTTAATCTTCACACTGTGTGAAGTTAGTATTGGTATTACTACCCTCACTTTACAGATAATGATAAATGACTCAGATATTACACAACTAGTCCAATGCCACCCAGGAAGTATTAGAGCAGGAGTGAAATCCAGGAGATATAGCTCCAGAGCTTGTATCTTATTATACATCAATCCACATACACAATTGGAAATTAAATATATATACAGATTGGGGATTGATGATCAAAAACTTCCCTGAATGCCAGAGAAGAGGGAGGTTTAGGTCAGCTGACTAGTTGGGTAAATGTGGAAAGTAGACTAGTAGTAATCTAGTAAAAGACAATGGAATCTTGGATTATGCAGGTACTGATAAAGGGGATGGATTTCGATGTTTGGTAAGTGAAACTTACAGGGCTTGGTAATGGATTGTACATAGGGGCTCAGGGTGAAGAAAGTGTCTAGGATGATTCTTTGTATTGATTTGAATAAACAGATTAGCTAGTGAGCCTCCGCCAGAGGCCATAGGAACAGGTTATGTCATTCTGCTGTTTTTCTTTGAATCACAAATACTCTGTTAATACGGGGCTAACTGAAAAAGTGATCTGAGGCAGGAGGATCAGGATCCTTGAGAGTTCAAGGCCAGCTCAACTACAGTGAGACCCTGTCTCCAAAAACACCAAAAACCCTGAACAGAAACAATGGAAAGTTAAAAATGAGCTGGTGTGGGAATGCACATGGATTAGTTTAATAGTTTCCGGCCTCATACCTGCTATCTACAGTGTAACGATGTAACCTGACAGGCTTGGTTTTAACACCCGTACTTCAACAGTGTTTATTTTGCTGATGTTAAACTGGACAGTTCTGGCAAACCCGAAATGAGAAGGAAATCAGAAACAACCAGCATTATCTGTTGTGGTAACGTGCTATTAAGGTAATTTTTTTTTGTTGTTGTTTTGTTTTTTGTTTTTCGCTGGTACCGGGAACCGAACTCACGACCTTGCGCTTGCCAGGCAGGCGCTTTTGCCGCTGAGCTAAATCCCCAGCCCTAAGGTAATTTTTTTAAGGCAAATTTTCCTGCGGCTGTTTGATAATTCCCAGTTGATGGTACGTTTTTCTACTTATCTTGATTTTTGAAGGAAACCTTGGGCCCATTCACAACCCAGGGGCGCTGTCCCACTGAACTACACCCCCAACCTTTTTAAATTGTTGAGACTGGGTCTCCCTAAATCGCCTATGCTGGCCTCGAACTCGCGTTCCTTCTACCCCAGCATTCCGAGGGTTGCGATTATAGGCGTGCGCCCGCCTTCGGCTGTTTTTAACTCTCCGTTTGGTACAGGTCACTCACACACACAGTTTCCCGGAAGTATGCTTCAGGCAGACACACTAAACGTTCAGGTAACGCCAAGGATTGGAGGCTCCCCGGGCAGAACGGCTGGAGTTTTCTTCAGGACATCTCAAACCGTGCCGCTTGCAGAGGCGCGCCCCACAGCCCAGCTCCCAAACTCCATCCTCCGCGCACCTCAGGCTCCTAGGCAGCAGGAGGAAGGGGCGTGGCGCGGGAACTCCGGCGTGACGTCACGTGACGTCGAAGGCTCCCGGGCGGGCGGGTCCGGCCGCCTCCACGCCGGCCGGCCGCCCTCCGGCCCTTCCTCCGCCCGCGGGAAGCTCAGGCTGCCCCCGCCAAAGGTTTGGCAGTCAGCTGAAGGAAGGAGGCGAAAGTGAAGAACGGCGAGTTGCCATCCCTGCACAGTTCCAGCAATTGTCCGCTTCCCTGGTGGATCTCTGGAGCATTTGAGGGTGTCCTGGAGCCGTGAGAGGATCTCTTTTTTCCCCCCAAGCCGGAGCGCGGGTCCTAGCGGCTACTTCCGGTGTGTGGAGCTTCGCGCTCAGCTGAGGGGTATGGCTCGGGGGTGGGGGAGGGGAGACCCGGCCGACCCCAGCGGAAGTGCACCGCGTTCGCTTTCGTGCAGTTCTGTGTCTCCCGCGCCGGCTGGGGACGCGCCTCTTAGCGCATGCGCCCCTCGCGTCTCGAGCGTTTCCCGCGCCAGTCCCTGCGCAGCGTTTGCGCCCCGGGAGAGACTGGAGGAAACAGGGTCCCAGTGAGGTCGCTGCCCTGAGAGGGAGGCTCAGAGGCTCTGTGCAGGTCCTGTTGCCTGCGCGGCACTGTGGTGTGACGGTCCCTCAGTGTGGCGGAGGGATGCGCAGCAGTGGCTCACCTCGGCCGTGCAACCCCGGGCGCAGCGGGGAGGCAGGAAGTGCAAGCTGAGGGCTGAAGGCTGAGAGCCGGGCAGCGAGTAACGGTCCCTCGGGAGCGGTCTGCGGGGTGCGTGGGAAGGGTTTTGTGAGCTACAGTTTCCAGGTTTTGGTATTGATGAAGTGTTTGTATGTGTTTTTTAAAAGCACTGAATTATTTTAATTACCTCAAGTTTCTTAAAGGACTAACTTTGCACTCTTAGTCTTAAACCAGTATACTCTACAATTTTAAATTTTGCATGGAAGTAGTTATTTTTAACTTACTGACTTAATAGCAGTAGCTTACTTTTTTTGCTACAGAGAAAACATTCTTTGGACCCGCGACTTGAGTCCTAGCTGTGTGACCTTGGCCACTTAACCTGTGACACCTGTTTCTTCAGCTCAGAATACTAAAATGGACCTAATAATTGTAGCTATTTTATAGAGTTGTTCGGAGGAGTCAGTAGAGTAATAAATATAAAACAGCATAATTCTCATGCTGCCGGACACTCAGTAAATGACTTCTTAGCAATAATGTGGGCTCATTAATTTATCTGTTATGATTAAAATAGAATATAGGCTTTTTAAATGAGGTTGAATTAATGTAGTACACCTAAGTACGCTTTTAGTAATGCTACTATGGAAATGAATGAACACAAGAGATAATAAAATTGTGAACCCAAAAAATAAATAAAAAAGAATAAGATTGTGAACCCTTTCGTATACCATCCGTACTCAACTTGAGTAACTGTTAAAGTTCACCGGTTCTTGTTTCAATTTCCTTCACGGCACCCAGTTTTGTTTGTTTTAGTTGGAGGGTTTTCTGGCCAATCCCAGAGAATATGTTGGTTTACTTGTAAATACTTTAGATCCTTTAACACACAAGGCCTTTTCGTGTGTGTGTGTGTGTGTGTGTGTGTGTGTGTGTGTGATGCTGAGGCTTGAGCCCAGGACCTGTGTGTGTGCTGGGCAGGCGTCCTATCATCAGGCTATATCCCCAGCCGTACGTACACAAGGCTTAACGAAAACGTGGTGCTGCCCACAATTAACAGTAGCTCCCTAATATCTGCAGTCCAGTAGATGTTCAGGTTCTGGTGATTGTTTTTAAGTCTTAAATGCAGTTTTTAAAAATTATAATGTATATTTATTTTTGTAGTACTTTACAGATTAGCATGTGATTTCACACATACTCTTCATCCCTTTAGAAATTTTATTATTTTATATCATTACCTCAATAAATGGTTAGTAAGAGACACTTCAATCAGTTTGGGTACGTGTTAGTAATGGTATGGGACTGGCTAAGGAGCCAGATGTGAGTTTAGTATACTTGCTATTCAGCTTTTTTTTAATCGTAAATAATGGTTTCAGTTGACGAACACATATTAAAATGTTGATCCATCTGAGCTTTTTTTCCCTAATACTGGGTATCAAATATAGAGCTTTCACAATGAGCTACATCATAAGCTCTGTTTTTATTTTGAGACAGGATCTGCCTCAGCCTCCCAAAGTGCTAGGATTATAGGCATGCCACTTAAATTTCCTAAGAACAGTTGCATCTTTTACAGGATTATATGAGTAAAATGTAACTATTTACTTTTATTGTGAAAGAGACAGTAGCTTTACACTAATCACCTTGTACTTCTAAATATATAATCTTTTTGTATTGATAGATCTTTGCTGTGTCTTGTACCTTACTGCCTTCTTTTCTCAGAAAGATACACAAGTCCTCACGTGTTAATATGTTAGTCATCTATCTTGTGCTTCTGTAATGTCTGTACATATGTAGATGTGCATACTTGTTAAGTAAGGAATATTTCAGAATGTTTTCCAGTTTCTGCTTAGTGTAATGTTGTACTCCACATCAATTCAAAAGCTAAAAAAGTAGTGAATTCTTTTTATTTGTATATAATGATTACATTCATCATGGGAAGTTAGTATATGTACATTACATGTACTAATTCGTTTTATGTATTTCCCCTCTTTTCATTCCTCCTCTTGATGATAAATCAATTTTTAATTTTTTTTTTTTTGGTACCTGGGAATCGAACTCAAGACCTCACCCTTGAATCAGTATTGATCATGAATGATTACAAACCTTTCAAATAGAGACTGCCTTCAGTTTAACATGCTTTAGACAATTCTTTTTCGGTGATATAAGAAAATGGCCAAATAACTGAAATCAGAGCTTTTCTCACTATTATTTTCCTCTTTCTTCACTCCTCCAGCCCCTCCAATTTCTCAAAATGATTGACTGTGAGTAAATCAAACTTGGAAACAGCTGGGCTGTTTCATCATTTTAAATTATGTAAAGATAACTGCAAATTTATTTATGTTATAATCTGTCATTTCAGGTATTTCAACCATCCAAAGACAACTTCACATTTGTATAATGTAACAGAAGAATTCTGAAAACATTAAGCAGATTGACGTGCAGAGCCTATTAAACAAAATGAACATCTCTGGAAGTAGTTGTGGAAGCCCTAGTTCTGCAGATACATCTAATGATTTTAAGGAACTTTGGACAAAGCTGAAAGAGTATCATGACAAAGAAGTACAAGGTAAACACTTGTTAAAGTGAGCAGTGTTTTGTTGATATTATAATATAAAACTAACTTTGACAGGTTTTTTAAATATATTTATAGAAGAAAGGAATATCTTTAGGTTCAAATACCCTCTTTTCTTTTTATTTTGTGATGCTACTGGGAATTGAACCCCAGGGGCCGTGCTACCATTGAGCTACATTTCCACTCCTTTTTTCCTTTTTAAATTTTGAAATAGGGGGTCAGAGTTGCCCAGGCTGGCCTTGAACCTTTAATCTTCCAGCCTTGTAAATAGTGGAATGACAGATGTGTGCCACTGTGCCCAGATCAGTGTTGTCTTAAAGGGGCATATATTATTGTAACTTTCTGTGATTTGTTTTTAGGATGAATTTTTACTTTCTATCTGTGCATAGCTACTGCAGGACATAGTTCTTACAACTTGTAGTTACTTGGGAAAACATGTACAGTAAGTCCCCAACTTACAAATACGTTCAGTCTTGGGAGGATGCTCGGAAGTTGACTTCATTTGTAAGTTCAACAAAGTGAATCCTAATACATCTTTGACAGAAATATACAATGTAAAACATAAAAAACCTAAACATACCAAAATACAGTAAGTCCCTAAGTGTACTGTACTACTATACACTATTGCACTGTACAGTAAGCACACAGCAGCACAACCGTGACCATGCGCGGCAGACACGTAAGCTACTTCCACAATCTGTTCACATCTGTGAATGTTGATAATGAGAGGTCCATTTGTCCATTTGTATCTGTAGAAGTTCACAACTTACTGTAATGGGTTGGTGGAAAGTAGTAGAATTTATTAACTGAAGACAGGATTCAAATGGTAATTTCATTTGTCTACTTGCTCTGTGATCTCAGCCAAGTCACATAACTTCATAACTTAATCTTCTATAGTAAAATTATTTGCAAGATTATTTATAGATATAAAAATACCTTTTAAGTCATTTGACAAACCTTTGAGAATCTGCTGCTGCTAAGCACTGAGATGCAAAAGTAGCAATTTACTTTCAAAGATCTTGCAGTCTAATAGAGACAGCTATGGAAACATAATTACAGTACAATGAAATGAGAGCTAAAAAGGTTTATAAGAAGTACTGAGTGTACACAGGATTGATTGTGGTTAGAATGAGTATGTAAGTGTTATTTGTGTTACAATGTACTGTGTATAAAGAACCATTCTATTAAAGTTAAGCCCAAGGTTTGATACTAAGTTTCAGTATACTTTAATTCTGGAACTGTAATGTTTATAAGTATTCCTGTGTATGGTAAATGCTTCATAGGACAGTTGTTTCTTGATCACCCATTGATCGCACCAGTGAATTTACACTGCATTACGGTATAACTTGAACATTGCACTGGGGTAATGTTACAACAGCTACTTGAATCTAAATTGTAGTACACGGAGCTGTATTGGAACTTTACCATGGTAAGTTTAGTTCCTGGCAGAACTTTATTGTAATAGCCTCATCATTAATTAATGAATTCTGAAATATGAACCCCAAAAGTAATCCTGCATGTCCCAGTGTATTTGGAGACACTTGTTCAAGAAATATGTGTTGGGCACTTGTGTGCCAGACCTTGTAAATAAGAGTGAATCATGTATAAGCTCTAGTTTTAAAGGCCATATTTTTGTTTTTATTTTGATTTTTTTGTGTTTTTAAGAAACCAAGGCAGTGTAGCCCAGGCTGGCCTCCAGGTCAAGATCTTCCTGTGTCAGCCTCCCAAGTGTTGGGATTACAGGCAGTGTACCACAGTATCCCTCTGAAATTTCTAATCTAGAATTTTAATGCAGAGTTCTCATATTATTTGGGAACCTAATGGAAGAACCAGAAGTATGTGTATGTCTGTGATTTACTGTCAGACCAGCTTTATACTTGGGTAATTCTAATTAGCTAAATAAAGTGGGGAGGAGGAAAGAATTTTCTGAGTAGAGAGAACAGCATAGACAAAAATTTGGAGATAGGGCCTGATTTTTATCCAGGTAATAAATTATAAAGTTTGATAAAAAAGTAAAAGTGAAAAATTGCCCCCTCAGCACAAATGAATAACTTCTTTTATTATTTTTGAGTGTTTATTCCAGTTTTGAAAAGTATGAAAGTATGTTCTTCTTGATTTAAGTATTTTTTAAAAAGAAAGCTTACACATACAAAAAATAAAGATAGTATTCCTTGATGATAACAATGCAGTAAGCTATGTGTACTTTTTAGAACTGGGAAGAAGGTTTTCCGGCTTCCTTTCAGTTTTAATTCTGTCATCTAGGTATATAGGCTTACTAATAAGAGCACCTTCAAGTTGAAACTATTATAGGAGAGTTACTTCTGCCTATTATAAAAAATATTTTTGTGAACTAGAAGTGAAGCAAATAAAATAGTTAGCAATAATTTAAATAGGATAGATGTACTTGAGTTTTCATTAAACATTTAATATAGGGCTGTTAGCATTCTGTCATCTTTAAGTATAATGTTAAGTTCTTTATCCTTCAAATAATTTCTTTCTATAATAACTGGTTTTAAGCTCTTTGTTATGAATATAACACATCTTTATAGTTTTCTGGGTGAAAGTGCTTGGCACATAGTGAGAAATCAGTATCTAAATGAATTGCAGTTTGTGAAAACTTGTAGTACATGAAAATATCAAATTTTGTGTCTGAAACCCTGAAACATATACTGTAGTTTTTAAGTTTTTAGGTAGTATTCTATAAAGTTAGGAAAGCAAGCTGTCACTACTCTACAAAAAAAGACTTTCTTTTTCCCAATGCTAGGGATAGAACCTGTTATGGTTGATACATTGTGTCAACTTGGGGAGTCTAGAGGTTTGGCTAAGTGACTCAGCAGGGAGCCAGGGTGCTTACTTTGTATACCTCCTGAGCCTGTGGAAGAGGAGGGCATGGAGATTATGTGAGAGCTA